GTGATAGCGAATATGGATGAGTATAGCAATATGTCTAGACTCTAGACTCGTCTTTCATCCGACCAAGCTCATACTCTTGCGCTAGCAAGCTAGGACAGATCAAACATAATTATTTGAAGAGGTACCATAACTTCAAATCTAGTGGTCGACTCTGAACATCATGACCCATTAGGGTACACGATTCTCCACCTCCACCTTCCAAAAACATGATAGACGAAAAAAACAAAAAAAAGAAACAGATGAAACAACACGTACACAAAAAACAGACAAAAAAATGGAACAAATAATGGCAGTGTTCGGCTGGGAAAGAAGCTGGCTTGTTCGGCTTATTTTTTCAGCCAAAGCAGTGTTTTTCTCTCACAACATTCCAGCATAAACAGTGTTTTCCAGTATGAACAGTGAATAATTCATACCAGCCAAACACTGCCAAACTCTCTAGGGTTTAACATTATATAATTATAGTAAACATACGAGTTGTTCTAACTTGTATGAGAATAGGTCATGAATTCAGATCACATACGGTATGTTGGTATATAGTCGGCGCGAGGGTAGTTTGGAAAGTAAAAAATGCAGGATGAAAAATGTGGTTGGGATGAGAAGCTCGGCTCTTTAATATTAGATAGAGAAGAGATTATTATGTTATAATTTATTGTAGGAATTAGGGATAGAGAAAGATAGATAGGGTCTGGAAAAATCCATTAGCTTAATATTAGGGACTGCTTCACAAACTTTACCATAGAGCAACTCCACAAAAAACTGGAGTTTGTGGAGCACCTCTTTAGGTGCTCTCACAATTCCACCATTTTTCCTCGAATAGAGTGCGTGGAGTTGAAACTGTTTGGCTTAAAAACATGGAGTGAAGCTGAAAAATGTGGAGCGGAGCAGTCCACCCCTAAGGTTATACAAATGTGACACCCACAACACGCACGGACACTTATAGCACATAAGCCCTATCTTTACTAGCATATGTGAAGGACTAAGTCTGAACTATCAGATCTTAAGATTAATGAAATCACTAGAGATACTAGTACATTGTCTACTACAAAAAGAATAACGTCATTAATCCTAGAATAATTTTAAAAATGCAAGTACTCGTACCGAGTTAAGAATCTAAATAGACTGATTCCACCGTAAGAAACCTAACCAATTGAGATACCCCCGATTTGCTTGTGTTGTTTCCTGGCGGACAGGGCACGCTACCAGGTTATTTTCTAATCTTTGTAGTTACTCTGTTCTATGATCGTTAAACTTTGTACTTTGTACTGATCTTCTTTCTTTTTAGTGAAAATACGTACGTCAGATATGTAGTATATAAAAAACACATATTGACGTTATTATGTTCCAAAAAGATACTTTCTCATTGTATTTTTATATTTAAAACAAAGGTGTATCCTAAAAAAATACTCCATCTGTCTCAAATTATAGGTCATTCTAATTTTTTAGAGAGTCAAAGCATCTCAAGTTTGACCAAATTTTTATGATAAAAAATAATAATATTTATGATACAAAATAAGTATTATTAGATTCTTCATTAATTATATTTTTATAGTATACCTATTTGATGGTATAAATCTTTGTAATTCTTTCTATAATTTTGATCAAACTTGAGTTACTTTGACCGACTTAAAATTTGGAGCGGAGGGAGTACTAGTCAAATTATTGTATTTAAAATGAAGACGTTTCCTAAAAAAATAATAGCCAAATACTCTGTGGTATATTTTTATATTTCGTAGTGTATTATTAGAGACTGCAACGATCTTCTATTAAACTTATATTTAGTACATACAATTATTAGAGAGTACCCCGCTGCATGTGCAATGAGAAATGAAGAAGAATCCACGTTCAACAAACAGCACATTCAGATGGCGAAATATCCTTGAATGTTTTAAATACTAGCACTCCTAGTATGTGAACCAGCACTCGCAGCCATCGTGATAGATTGCTGCTGTGATTTGCAAAAGTTTACAGCCTCAGACTCGGCAGACAACCGGGATCGGATCCACTCAGCAGAGCGATGCGTGCTGATTTTTTTTATTGTTTCTTTTATTTGCGATTCATGCGTGCTGAACTTCGATTCCAATTCCCATCGCTATCCCTATCCGGGCACACAGTTGAAAAGCTGGCAAATAGCGGTACGGAATACAGCTAGCTGGCCGTTCGGCATGGCCGCGTACATACCTCGCTGGAATTCCAAGAACAAGAGTTCAAGCCGTCTTCGCTGATCAGTCAGAAGCAAGGGAACGCACGCGCATGGCAGAATTTGCTGAAACGATCACACGCCAGCGTTGACTTCGTGATATTCGATATGATACGTTCAGTGCCCAGAAATCCACGGACGCAGCTGCCCTGAAAACCGTTAGCTTCGACCTCTGGCCGGGTTCGTCCTCTAGTTCTTGTCTTGTGTCTCCGGCCGGCCGGCCGGCCGGCCGTGTGAAGGCACTAGGCACATGCACGGCCGCCTGGATCAGACTGCCAGCCAGCGTACGTGTGAAAGCAGCACTAATAAGATAATTGGAAACACGGCATGTATGCATGGCGTGCTACACCACTGCTGACAGTGATCTTTCATTTAAAATTTTAGGTGTGGACGCACCAGCGGTGACATATCGCTTGTTGATGCGTATCATGCATCTCTTATCCTTGCTGAGATTCCATGGATTCTAATGCGAAGACTTTGACTAGAACGTACACATCATATTGTTGGCTTCTTTTCTTTATGGTAACCTGTTTTTTTCTACTCATACAATTTACTAGTTAGGATTCAAATGCGAAGACTTTGACTTGTACCGCTCGTTAATAAGATTCCTTCAGTTTAGTAGAACTTCATCCCTAAACCGCAACAAGGTTTGGAGTTTCGGCCAAAACTAGCCAACACTCGGAGAATTTCGATTCTACTGGCCACCTTTGTCAAGTATATGTATCGGCAATTCAGTTTTTTGTTTGGATGAAATTCGGTCAAAATTTACCCAATAATTGATTTTATTCAACCGAGAATAATCGTCTATCGGTTCTATTGGGCCCTCTGAATTTTTACAACAAAATAGGTAGGATGAAACTGTTTTGTAAATTGAAAAGGCTTCATCGTATTTATGTGATAAAATGATGTGCATTTATATTTAAACTCTCGACTCCAAATTATAAGACATTTTAACATTTCTAGATGCATAGATTTTTCTATGCATCTAGATATATATTTATGTCTAGATACATAGTAAAATCAATGTATCTAGAAAAATCAAAATTGTCTTATGATTTGGAATGGAGGGAGTATTAAGTATATTATGTACTCCCAACCCCCTCTTTCCACTTCCCTTCTTCCTTGTCTGTTGTGGCTCTACTACCATAATGTCCACATCCTTTTATATTAATTTGTTTAGATTTAGATTGCTAATACCCCTCTATTCTCCCATCCACCCTATCCTTGTCACCTCAACTATCAGATTTATGGTTTCGAGTGCTATTATGAACAGCCCTTGTCAAAATCTACACTCATTCAATATTCGAGATCAGAATGACAACGGAAAATGTCTCCACGATTATAGTTGATTGCGACCTTCTGAAAGCAATAGTAGACACATGATTGTTACTTGGGGTAGTTCATCTACTCTACCCCTAGGGATGGTAGCGGATCTGGAAATGTGTGGGTATCCTAGCACGTAGTTAATATTTTGCATTCATACTCATACCTGCACCCATTGGGTATGATACCCGTAGGTATTTGTACCCTTAAATTGAACAGACGGTGGTGGAGCATGATCCAACATCTAGGGGGGCTACTTCAAAAGTGAATAATAATGCAAAAGCTAAACATGACTCCAAAAGCGAAAAAGACTATGTCTAGCTCTCTGCTGCCCTTCCCCTAGTGTCAAGCTTTATGAGCTTTATCATGACATACACGGTACGCGAGAGCTACGAGGCTCTTGGTAATTTTGTCGCAGGCAAGCAGGGTCTGTAGCCCAATTTCGCCTCCACTAAGCGCCACCACTGGGTGTAGGTGAAGCAACGTACCCGCACACGCATAATCTTATATATATCCATACCCGTATTTGTAGTTGAAATTATGGGCCATAACTTAGAAGGATCTCTCCAATCTTAATACTAGTGAAATGTATTGAAAAAACTGCTAAAATATGATATCTTATTGCTAAGGGTATAACAATTGTCACTGTTATTCACTTATTTGGCAAGTGTAACTTTCTAACTGCCGAGGGAAGAATATCAAGTACTCAAGATTTTTATGTACAACCATCCACTTTCGCTTTCCCATTTAGACTATTCAAATTTCTTTGTAGTGTATCAGATTTGAAAAGGTCAAACCATATAAGTTTTGAAAAACAATTGGCTAAGGTATATGCATGTTTAACATTTACCAATAACATTCGTATTTTCATATATCTTTCAAATAACATTGATCTTTTCTTTTTTTCAAATGACATGGGAAACTGCCAATTGCATTTTTTTAAAAAAAGGAGCACGCAGACATGTCAAAAGTACAATACAAGTAGCTTATAAAATCCTATAATAATTACAAGATAGTACAAGGACAAAACCAAACACAAGGCAATTCTACATGAATCCAAGTTTATGCCTCCTTAATCTTGCGTTTTGCGTAGCAGGTGGTGGATGCTCCAAGTTAGCCAAACGGCTCGCTGCCGGAGTTGCACAAGAGGTGTGCTGATGACAGAATGATACTACCGATTTTATTTTATTTTTTTGAGAATCTGAATGATACTACCCATGCGTCGTACAGTTTGGCTCCGACGTACGAGTCAAAAATTCCAGCCACAGTCCCCGACCCAACGGCAACGTCACCTTCGACCCATCGAAAACCTCACCCCAAGCCCAAGCCCAGAACCCATCATAAATTCCGCGGCCCGCGTGCGCTTCTGGCCACCGGGACGGGTGGTCCAGGAGCATACAGTTCGCCGCACGTGCGCACCTCCTCCGCCTTTCTGAAGCAGTCAAGCTCCGCTGCAGGCTGCAGCCGCCGTCCGGACCTGATGGCCACCGCGACGCACCACGACGATGCCCCGGGCCTGAACGGGGCCGAGGGCGTGGAGATGGCGGAGGCCAACGAGCTCCGCCGGCGGGGCAAGCCCAGCGACGACACGCCGGCCCGCGACGGGGCGGGCGCCGAGGACGACGAGGCGGCGGCGGAGGCGCCGTCGTCCGTGGAGCGCGCGTTCGCGGACCAGCCCGTGCCGTCGTGGCGGGAGCAGCTGACGGTGCGCGCCTTCGTCGTAAGCTTCTTCCTGGCCGTCATGTTCAGCATCATCGTGATGAAGCTCAACCTCACCACGGGGATCATCCCGTCGCTCAACATCTCCGCGGGGCTCCTCGGCTTCTTCTTCGTCCGCCTCTGGACCAAGGCCATCGAGAGCGTGGGCTTGCTCAGGCAGCCCTTCACGCGCCAGGAGAACACCGTCATCCAGACCTGCGTCGTCGCCTCCTACGGCCTCGCGTTCAGCGGTAATAACTAAATTCTTTCCCCATCTACCATCAACAATTTCATACTTCTCAGAGTTGCTTGGCACGCTTCTAGTATTATATACGGTAGTAATAGATACATAAATAATTGAATTACTAGATAGTTCTTTGCAACTATGCTTGCAGTAGCTCAGTAGCCTCGTTTCCTTCACCGGCCTCGTTTCCTCAGTAGACCCAGATACAAAAGGTCCTTGACTCCTTGTACCGATATAGCTTCAGCATCTCTAAAGAATCTGCCGATATATATAGCTGAATAAAGAAAACAGCGTGAACTGTAAAAGCATAGTACAGGACAAACTTGGAAGAACATGCTCTAGAAGTGGAAAAATTCAGAAGTAATCTGGGTAGCTTTAGCTCTCTACTCCCTCTGTCCACAATAGTACGTAGTAGATGACGTTTCAGGCACGGGAATTAAGGAGTAAAAAATGTATATAGTGCATAGAAACGAAAAGAAGAGAGATAACGATAGAGATGTGTTGAAAATAGAAATGTACATTGAAAATTGAGAATGACAACTAATTTAGGATAAAGGTATAAGACTAAAGGTCAAATATTATAGGATGGAGGGAGTAGTATATTAGTACAGTACACTTTAGAAGGAAAAACGCGTTCCCTTACTTTACTAATTACTCGAGAGTATGAGGCGAAGCATATATTTTATATCTAGTTATTATTATTGAAACTACCGGAGATTATTCGCTAATGCAATTGATAATTCTAAATGGTCAGCTGGACTCTGTAAGCTACGTGCCGTTGATGACAATGATAGGCAAATTGTAGACAACAATTTGTCTTCCATGCAGCTGTCACAATCTTAGAATTTATAGGAACCTTTTTTTCCCCTGTATAAGACTTCACATCTTAGCTGATCCAAAAGCTATGTTGATATCAACACGGCTTATCCAATAAGGATGGATGATGGATAATATCATCCTTTTCCCATGCTTGTAATCTGTAAAGTGAGAAGATCATTTTTTTTTCTGTTATTTGCACCTAGTGCAAAATTTGCCAAACTCTTGCTAAGTTAGCACTTGCACTCTAGCGTATTGAGCCTTCTGTCTCTCTTTCTCCTAGCACCACCTTAGCACACACTTGAATCTATCCTTAACATGTGCTAATTGTTTATGCCGATAAATTATATGCAGATAATACTCTAGACAAGCTAAAGCTATTATAGGCTTATTCTCAGTTCTTTTTTGCATGCTGACATTTCAGGGGGCTTTGGTAGCTACCTATTAGCCATGAGTGATAAAATTGCTGCCATGGTAACTGAGGCAAATAATGCTCAAAATATAAAGAATCCACAGCTTGGATGGATAATTGGCTTCCTGTTCCTGGTCAGCTTCATCGGACTCTTCGGTCTTGTGCCACTGAGAAAGGTCCAACTCTATACCCAATCCTCTTTTTTGGTCAATCAGGTCGGCACCATGTTAACAAAATTACTATGAATTATTCAGATTATGATCGTTGACTACAAGCTGACTTATCCCAGTGGCACTGCCACAGCCTACCTCATAAATGGCTTTCATACACCCCAGGGTGCCAAGCTTGCACGGTGAATATACAGTAATGTCCATTTATATTCTATACTAGGACACACAAACTGAGAAGTTTATCGGTGTGTTCATTTTACAGGAAGCAAGTAAAGAAATTGGGCACATTCTTCGTCCTTAGCTTCGTTTGGGGTTTCTTCCAGTGGTTCTATACTGCTAATTCAGATGAATGCGGATTCCAAAAATTTCCATCACTAGGCCTGCAAGCTTTCAACAACAGGTAAGTGTTATCTTCCATCTATATCCAAACTCTTATTTGTTTTCAGTTCGGTACAACACATTCTTTTTTATGTTCTTCATAACTGAATGTCTCTTTCTATTCTCCAAGGTTTTACTTTGATTTCTCTCCTACGTATGTTGGGGTGGGAATGATTTGCTCACATATTGTCAACATATCTATTCTTCTGGGAGCCATCCTCTCATGGGGAATAATGTGGCCGCTCATAGCCAAGAAGAAGGGAATTTGGTTCTCTGCTGATCTCACTGACAGTAGTCTTCACGGAATGCAAGGTTACCGGGTAAGAATATGTTTTGTGTTAGTTCCTTGGCTCAGTTCTCCTTTCAGTTACTAAATTCTGTCGGTATTTCAGGTCTTCATAGCCATTGCCTTGATTCTTGGGGATGGTCTATACAACTTCCTGAAGATATTCATTCTCACCGTGGTCTCCTTAAGATCTCAAATAAAAAAAACTAATGTTAGCACACTTCCTATATCTGATGATGGCATAGTTACCGACACCGCACCTATCTCATACGATGAAGAGCGGCGCAACGAACTCTTCCTCAAAGATCAAATTCCTTGGTACGCTGCATTTGGAGGATATGTTGCCATTGCTGCTATATCTATCGGTACTGTCCCACAGATATTCCCACAACTGAAGTGGTACCACATCTTGGTGGCCTACATTTTTGCTCCTATACTTGCCTTCTGCAATGCCTATGGAAGTGGCCTCACTGACTGGTCGCTAGTTACCACCTATGGGAAGCTTGCAATCTTCGCATTCGGTGCATGGGTAGGTGCCTCCAATGGAGGTGTCCTTGCAGGCCTGGCTGCCTGTGGTGTGATGATGAACATTGTGGGCACTGCTGCTGACCTGATGGGGGACTTCAAAACTGGGTACCTGACACTGGCCTCACCGAGGTCAATGTTCATCAGCCAGGTCATTGGCACAGCAATGGGCTGCGTCATTGCACCCTGTGTGTTCTGGCTCTTCTACAAGGCCTTCGGCAACATTGGCATCACTGGCAGCGAGTACCCTGCGCCAAACGCTGTTGTCTTCCGAAGCATGGCGGTACTCGGCGTGGATGGCTTCTCCTCGCTTCCCAAGAACTGCCTCACTCTCTGTTACGTGTTCTTCACTGCAGCGATCATCATCAACCTGATCAGAGACCTGGTGCCCAAGAAGGTGTCGAGGTTCATCCCAATCCCAATGGCGATGGCGATACCTTTCTACATCGGTGCATACTTCGCCGTGGATATGTTCGTTGGGACAGTGATATTGTTCGTGTGGCAAAGACTGGACAGAGCCAAAGCAGACGCATTCGCACCTGCAGTTGCTTCCGGCATGATTTGTGGTGATGGGATATGGGTTCTACCTCAGTCAGTGCTTGCACTTGCCAAGGTGAAGCCTCCAATCTGCATGAGGTTTCTATCGAGGGCGATGAATGACAAAGTGGATGCTTTCCTTGGATCGTGATCATAGAATGTTTGGTGGAAGTGGAAATGAAATGGAACAGTTGTGACTTATGAAGTCAAGGTTATTCAGATTGATTATCATCTGCCCTGTCTGTAATTAGCAAAATGTATTTTCCATAGTAAATCCGTATTAATTACCAGTGAGTGAACAATTATACTATTCTTGTTGATTCGTTTAATGTGATAGTATATACGTCTCTCATCCTATTGAACAAAGTATCTGTTAGACAAGAGAAAAGGCCCAACCAAACATAGATGGGCCAAAGATCGCCACACAGAGCTGTGGGGGGTGCCAGAACGAAGCGGTCTGTGTGCAAGTGCAACGTTCCCTGCAACGTCAGTACAGCAACCTGCACGGATGGACGGCACAATACCATCACATGGCAGGAAACACGCACACATATGCCTGTAATGGTTCGATAATGCTACAAATAGGACGTTCGATGCCAGCAACTTTCTCCGAACGGACGAGTAGCGTGATGTGCACCACAACTTTGACTCCCACCGTCTCTTATTCTCATCCAGACACCGCTCGCTCACTCAGCTCGGCCTTCTCCCACCGCGTCCTGACCCTACGCCGCTCGCTCGCACCTTGCTCACGCGTCGTCGCGTGACCCAACTGCGCCGCTCGCTCCTCTCCCCCGCCAGTCGTGCGCCCCACCCGCACCTCACTCTTCGCCATGCGCTGCGTCGCCCACTCTTTGTTGTAGCACGTGCCGCCCGCCAGGCTGAGCCAAGGCCGATGCTGGTGGCGCTGGTTGGTGGTGGTGCTAGCACGCGTCGCTGGTGCTGGGTGCTGGTGGTGCTCGTGCGCCGTCACTCACAGCCAGCTGCAACCACGATGGCTAGAATCAACCGGCCTAGGTTTTTCCTCCCCTATGTTGCAAATGTATGTTTAGGCATTTCAGTTGTTTCTTATCAATGTTGCAAAAGTAGATCGGGGATGTTGCACATGTTGCATATGTTGCAAATATTTTCAGATGCATGTCCCAAGCGTTTGTTCAAAATGTTTCATCTGTTCTAGATGTATGTTGCAAGCGTTTTGATCTTGATGTTTGCATATGTTTCACACATATATTGCAACAACATGTTCCGTATGTTTCATCTGTCTCATACGTATGCTGCAAGTGTTCTATCTGGATGTTGCATATGTTACAATGACTATGTTGCAAGTGTATATTCCAAATGTTTGATCTGTTTCAGTCGTATGTTGCAATTGTTTCATATGAGTGTTGCTAAAGTAGATCTCAATGTAGGGTTGTTTACCGAGGAAGAGAGAGATAGTGCGGGAGCCATGGTAGCATCGGCTGTAAGCTGGTGGCAGCACTCCACCGGAGGACACGCAGGCATCCACACAGGCGCACATGGCCCGTCCCCGTACGACATGCTGCCTCCGCTAGACCTGTCGAAGGTCCTGGAGTGGCATCTCCCCGCTCGACGGAGATGCATACCCTGGCTATGGAGGTGACGCGGGCATGACGAGGTTGAGACCCCCTACGGGCGTGGCGAGCGGGCGGGTTCCTGTATTATGCGGGCGCGGTGGACGCTCTGTTACATGGGGGACGGGACAAGGTGCGGCGGAGCTGCATCCGGACGCAGGCCTAGAGCTGGACGTCCTGGCGCTAGTTATTCCCGTAATGGTTAGGTTGGCACGACGTAGCTTCCTATTGTATTAAATCGTATTTAACAAATTCCAATAAAATTTGCTAAAAAATCATGTGCGAACGCAAACTAAAAAAATCACATGTTGATCCAGCTGTTAATTGGCAAAAGATAGCTTCTTGTCACATTGAATAATATCCAATAAATTTCTATCAATTTTGCTAAAATTCTAAGGTGTGAATGCAAGGTTTTTGTTCTAGAGTCTGGCTTTAATGTGAGATCCACATGTTGATCCAGCTGTTCTAATTAGCACTTTGTAGCTGCTTGTTTCATACTAATTTTTAGTCAACTTTGATAATCATATAGTGTAAACATAATATTTTAAATCTAGAAGTCCGACTTTTTAATGTGGACCTATATATTTTATGCAAACTTATATTCATATTTTATATAAACCTGCAGTAGACTTATGGATTGAATTAGTTGATGAGTTAGTTGAAACACTAAAAGTGTAGGATGAAGTGAGCTAGGAAGAGAGTTCATTTGATATAGGTTGGGTTGGGTAAGGGAACCCATCAGGCCATCCACAGCATGTTCCCTGAGTGGTACCCAAAAAAGACAAAAGTGGTGTCAGAAAAAGGAGGAACGAAGAACGTTCAGACACCAATTCCAACTTCTCAAAAAAATTCCGTAGCAGTAGTTCTGCTGCGAATGAATTGAGCAGAGGAAAACGAACGCAGATATTTTTTTTGGTCGGACTGAAACATTCTCAATAGCTTATGTGCCTGAAATTTTATACGCTGCAGCACTTAGGGGTGTGATATCTATTGTTAGTGCGAAATTTGAGGCACGACATGAGCAAGGGCCATCTCTATGAATTTGAGGTCAAATTGCGAAATTTAAAATAGGGCCTCAAATTTATTTAAATTTAATACACATTTTTTTTCTAACAAATACATACTCCTCAAATTTTTGAGGGCTCCGTATTTTGAGGCCCTGTTTCGTCGACTATGTTACCCCCTACTGGTCGATAGCCCTGAGGTACCATCCATCCCCGGGTCACATGCGAGTAGAGAGCTATCTGCACACAGGGTCCACCAATTTTTTTTCCACATAGCCGACGAGAAGCCGAGAATGACTTCAACATGGACCTCACACCGCTCCCTCGAGGACTGTTGTGTTGTGGGAGCTCAGTTGCTCAAGGCGTAGTGGGCAACCGAAATCAAGTTTTGGTGACCACTTCAAGACCGGTAGCATATCCCAGATACACTGTTGTGTCGTGGCAACCGTAGTATTATAGTATTCTTCTTGATGACCTTGGCACAACATGTCTAGGATCTTTAGGTAAGCTTCTCAGTTTAGGTGATCAAATCACTAATCCTGAAGAAGATACAAGTTCCTCTATATGAAGTTCGGAGCACACAATTTTAGGAGCACAACAAGCAGCTATAGCAGTGTACATACAACAGCCGGACACAATCACTGCCAAGAAACTACCATGAGCTTTCGGAAGAAAGACAAACAAACTATCGCGGCACACGTGAGGACGACAGAAATTCCTGCTCAAGGCTGTACTGCCGTGAACCATGGTGACCTGCAGGCACCAGAACAGCACCACCAAGCCCACTGATCCTCTCACCATGACGAGGCGGAGCAACAGACTGGCGACCCCTTAACCAGCCTGTTCAGGAGGCCATATCGTATCGTGGATCATTTACTGCTGGCTGGTTTGGTGTGAGAGAAAAACACTATTCCCGGCTGGAAATTTACGATCGTTACGAGCAAGCGAACATGCTGGCAGCCTCATCTCCACATCTTTCATGGTAGGCCTGTCCCCTCGTGTCAGACTGAGGCACTCCTCAGCCAGCCCAGCCACACTTGCAATTGCTTCCTCACTTGCTTCACCCAGAATCTGTCTGTCAACAACCCCCTCGAGGGGCCTCTCCTCCTTAGCCCACAAGAAATAGTTCGTCAGGTTCTGCTTCTCGCCATTCTCGTTCTCGAAGATTGGCTTCTTCCTTGTCAGCAACTCAAGAAGTATCACTCCGAAACTATAAACATCACTCTTCTCGTTGAGTTGGCCAGTGTGGTAGTATTCAGGGTCCAAGTATCCAGATGTGCCCTGCACAGCGGTTACTAGATGTGTCTGATCAATTGGGATCGACCTCGACGCGCCAAAATCCGAAACCTTAGCTATGTAACTGTCATTAAGAAGTACGTTCATGCTCTTGACATCTCTGTGAAGAATTGACACCGAAGCTGCTGAGTGCAAATAAGTGAGAGCACCATCGATCTCGACGGCAATCCTTAGACGCTCCTCCTAAGGTAATGGAAACAGGATAGCAATCTGCCCATGATGCAAGAGGTCATATAATGTGCCGTTGGAGATGAACTCGTAGACAAGCAGTGGGACCTCGGCCTCAAGGCAGCAGCCATGAAGCTTCACCACGTTCCGGTGGTTGATCCGTGAGAGGATGGATACCTCGTTGATGAACTGCTCAATCTCTGAGCTTGCCTCGACCTTTGACCTCTTGATAGCCACGACACGTTGGTCAGACAGGATGCCCTTGTACACAGTGCCATGGCCACCACGACCGACCACACGGGTGGGATCAAAATTGTTGGTTGCCTTCTCTAGCTCTTCAAGGGAGAATATCTTTGTGCCATCACTTGCGTTTTCTTGGTCTGTAGAGATTAGTTGTTCTAGGAGAATACCTTTGTTTTTGCGGAAATACCTCTTTCTAAGCTGTTTCTGAACGCTCCTCTTCCATCTCCGTGTAAGAAGTGCAAAGACTGCGCCAAGGAATAGAATGCCACCGCCACTGCTTAGTCCAATGGTCACACCTGCATTGGGTGTGCACTTGAGACACAGAGGCCGTAATTTTTTTTTAGAAAGGCGGCATGTAATCCAACTGGGCAATTCTATGATCTGGGACACGATCATATAATCACCAGGACGGATATTTAAAAATGAGTTAAATACATCAGAGGTCCATTAACTTGTGAGGAAGTTTCGGTTAGGTCCATCAACTTTCAAAGTGGTTTTTTAGATCCATAAATTTTATATGCCGTATCACTTAGATCCATACTTTTTCACGTTGGCTTCCCATGCTGATGTGGCATGATGACTAGGCTAAATCAAGCAGCCCTATGCCAATACATTTGGTCAAACAGACTCCGGGCGCACGAGTAGGCACACCGCCGCTGCTGTGGCCATGCGGGCGTGCGAGCAAGTACTGCCGCCGCTGCCACACCGGCACGAAAGCAGGCTCGTACACCAGCGTCTCCACGGAGAAGTCGATGAGGTAGCAGTACCCGCTGGCGCCGCTGTGCACAGGCCGCTGTCGGAGGAGGCGCCGCTGAGGCCGGGTGCTCCAGGACAACGACGCCAGGGAGGTGCTCAGGTACGCTGTGGGATCCCGGAGCCGTTCGGGAGGATCACGTGCCAGTTCCGCGTCGAGTACATGATCGCTATGAAATGAATCACTCTATCAGCACAAGGCCACAACGAAATTACGATGTATGCATATATATATATCTTCAGGCCTGCAAAACTGCGCGATTCGGTCGCTATCCAGCCGCGCCATTTCGCCGTTTCAGCTAGCTTTGTCTTGACGGAACAGAGGCCCCCGCCAACTGCTGAACCCAGTAATCCGCCAAGAACGTCTTGGCGGCGTCCAGGCTGGGGTAGTAGGGCGGCTCGAGGAACATCTGGGCGAGCGGATCCATCCCTTCCGCCGGCACGAACAGCGCCCGGTTCCCCGACGCCTCCGCCTTGCCCATCACAGCCGCCACGAGCTGCCGGTATGCGAAGAAGAATCCTCTCACGGCCACCTCCACTGCTTGGAAAGCCTGGAGCAGCTCCACCTTGCCTGCCTCCTCGCCCTCACCGCGCCTACGGCTGTGGTACAGCTTCATGGCCGCCTCCTGCACCCGTGGGCCGCCGTTGGGGTCCACCTCGACACCGAGCACCCAGGGCACACGCTTCTTGAGGTCCCTGGTAGTGTTAGCGACGTACAGGAGCGCCCTGGACCGGAAACAGAACGACACGTCAGACCCCGGAGCCGCTTGTACAGCGAGCTGGCTCTTGAGCCGCCTGAAGTCGTCCGGGTCCATCAGCATGTGGAGGTCCTCGACGTCGGCGAGCAGCTTCCACACGCGCTCTAGGATCCAGCAGTCGCTGGCCGCCGCCTCCCAGTTCTTGGCTTCGATCCGTTCGTTGAGGCGGGTGAGGAGTTGCGACGCGGCGCGCAGCCATGACTCGAGTATCTGGTACATGGTGAACAGCGTCTCGAGCTCCCGGTTGCGGTAGCCAGACTTGGGCTCCGGCGCTGGCCTGGGCTTGAGCGCGTGCAGCTCGTGCGGGCGCACGACGCGGTCGTACTCGAGCACGGGCTTGCCGGCGAGGTTGGGCTCGCCGAGGCCGAGCGTGAAGGTGCAGCCCTGCATCTGGCTCTCGATGGCGTACATGATCTTGGCCGCGAGCGTCTTGGACTTGTCGCACGCGGCGAGGCGCGGGAGCAGGCTGGCCTCGCTGACCTGGCACACGACGGCCGCGGCGCTCCCGGGCAGCTGCCACACCTCGGACGCGCTGCGCTCCCGCGGGAGCACGCCCCCGGAGGCGCTCAGCTCGGCGAGCGGCGCGCTCCGGTCGCCCTCGCAGAGCGCGGACACCAGCTCCACCTCCCGCGCCGCGAGGGACTCGAGCCTGCGCGCGAGCTCGCGGCGGCTGGCATACCCGCGCGTGTCAGACAGCGCGAGGGACGCGAAGCGGAAGGTGACCTCGAGCGCCTGCAGCGCCGGCTTGACCAGGCCGTCGCCCGCCCACTTCGGGAAGCACCGGGCCTTCCACAGGCACGACAGCTCCTGCAGGCGCAGGTACTGCTCGAACGCCTCGGCCGCGGACGCGTCCTGCACCCTCAGCCTCAGAACGGTCGACGAGGAGGAGGAGGATGGCGCGTCACGTCGTGTCGACGCGGAACTGGCACGTGATCCTCCCGAACGGCTCCGGGATCCCACAGCGTACCTGAGCACCTCCCTGGCGTCGTTGTCCTAGAGCACCCGGCCTCAGCGGCGCCTCCTCCGACAGCGGCCTGTGCACAGCGGCGCCAGCGGGTACTGCTGCCTCATCGACTTCCCCGTGGAGACGCTGGTGTACGAGCCTGCTTTCGTGCCGGTGTGGCAGCGGCGGCAGTACTTGCTCGCACGCCCGCATGGCCACAGCAGCGGCGGTGTGCCTACTCGTGCGCCTGGAGTCTATTTGACAAAATATATTGGCATAGGGCTGTTTGATTCAGCCTAGTCATCACGCCACGTCAGCATTAGAAGCCAACGTGGAGAAGTATGGATCTAAGTGATACGACATACAAAGTTTATGGACCTCAAAAGCCACTTTGGAAGTTGATGGACCTATCCAAAACCTTCTCACAAGTTAATGGACCTCTGGTGCATTTAACTCTTTAAAAATTATGTAAGTAGCTTACCTAATATTACAAGTTTGCTTTCACTTTGATGCTTGCCAGTGCTAATACTTGTGCATCCGTATCTAAGGTAAGGATTTCCTCCAAATCCATGAGAGCACTTGCACTGATAACCAACGTGTTTGAGTGATAGTATTTCGTCTGTGACATCCAAGCAATCACTATTAGAGAAGCATCTATAATCCTCAGACGCCATTGCATCCTTACAGGTCTTGTTGTCGACGGCCCACCTCAACACGCCGTGTTCACCAGAGAAAGCGTACAAAGGGGCTCCCAGGTAGGCCGAGGAACTGCCTGTATCTGATAAGTTGAGAACACGCAGGATACCTTCGTCGATGGATATGTCAGTGACCACCGAACCATCAGGCATTTCAAGGATACACTAGTAGAGAATAGACCTTTGATCCTCGGTCAAAATGGACTATAGTCCTGAAATTTTTTGTCCCCAGGACTAGAAATACCTTTAGTCCCGGTTGGAGGCTCTAACCGGGACTAAAGGTCCCTACCCAACGGCTACTGCGCCAGACAGAGGTGGCAGGGACCTTTAGTTCCGGTTGGAGCCTCCAACCGGGACTAAAGGTATACTTTTACTCCCGGTTGGTGGATCCAACCGGGAGTAAAGGTCTACTCCCGGGCCATGGTTGCGCCCGGGGTTGGAAAGTTACATTTAGTCCCGGTTGGATCCACCAACCGGGACTAAAGGTCCCCCCTTTATATATCGGCCGTCTCCTTCTTCCTCCCCGAGCCCGAGCTCAGCGTATTTTGAAGCTCACTGCAGTAGTGTTCTTGCTTCCTCCCTCCCTCCATTGTTCCTCCATCTATTCTTCGATTCCTCCGTCGATTTCTTTGATTTCTCCGTCGATTCTTCAGTTGTAAAGGTTACCAATCTCATACTCTCATTTTTCACCATTGTCTTATCTCATTTTGTTCAATATATATATATATATATGTATATGGTTCTTTATTGTGGTTTTTTTCATTTGTAAGCAATTTGAGCTCAAAATCACTTCAAGCTTGCATATTTACATGAAAAAAGGTTAAAGTAGCTAGTTGAACTTACGGACCGTGTTCATCTCGGCGACCATGTTCTCTGCCGAGCGGTAACGGACGTCAAGGAGGAGCTTTGATTCTACGAGGGAGAGCGGCAACGGTCGTGGAAGACCGTGTTCCCTTCCTTGTAGAATCGGAGCTCTTCCTTGACCAAGTACGGTGCCGTCCGGTGGAGAAATGCTCGCCGAGATGATCACGTAAGCAAGTTCAACTAGTACGGATGATTATTTATTCACATATCCCGATATCGTCGCAGTAGTTTGTCAATCACCGTACTTTTTATTTTAACTTTTTATGAAATGAAAAACTTAGAAAATTATAGAAAATCCGTACTAGTTGAACTTGTGGACCGTGTTCATCTCGGCGAGCATGTTCTCTGCCGAGCGGTAACGGACGTCAAGGAGGAGCTTTGATTCTCACGAGGGAGAGCGGCAGCGGTCGTGGAAGACCGTGTTCCCTTTCCTCGTAGAATCGAGCTCTTCCTTGACCAAGTCACGATGCCGTCCGTGTGAGAAAATGCTCACCGAGATGATCACGTAAGCAAGGTCAACTAGTACGGATGGTTATTTATTCACACGTCCCGATATCGTCGCAGAGTCTGCATGTGTGTACACTCCTATTCTTCTCGTTAATTTACGGAAATATCATGTGAATTACTTACCGCCGATAAAAAAGACGAGAACACAATGACCATTAAAAATATCATTGTTTAGAGATCTAGATAATTTTATAGTTTGTTAATTTTATTTGTTTATAAAAGGAGAAATTTATAGTGTATTAAAAATGAGTATAGAGAGTAGATGGCAATCGCTTCCGGGGTCCTCGGCCTCTCATGGGTTTCCAAAGCGACTTAGGCGGGTCTTCCTCTCATTCCATGCGGCAAGTGTCGTGATGAGACGAAAATTGTGATGGAGTACCGAGTGAAGAAGGAGGGTCCCAACAAGGATCGTATCTTCTACAAGTGTCCGGATCGCAATGTGAGTTATTTTATCGTATTTAATGATTATGGTTAGTTTATACCTATTTTCATGATGGTTGTGATTAAAGTTCTAATTTTTGTTTTAATTTCAGTGGGATGGGATGGCGATGGGCGATGTTCGTGCTTCTCTTTGGGAGGAAGAGTATGTTGAACTCGTGCAAAAATATCTTGCACAACAGAAGAATCTGACGACTAATGAGGCAATGATCCAGAAGAAGCCCAAAGATGTTGCACAATCGGGATCTCATCTGCTTTAGTTGAGATTGGTCATGAAATCCTTGTGCTCCTGAAATGTATTTTAGCTTTAGTTCTTTTAGTGGTAGTTGGGATTGTCTACATTGTAGCGATGCTTTCATAAATTTATATCTTTTGTGGTGGCACGCATGTTGTATAAATAATTAATTATGATCTAGGTTTTAATATAATATTTATGTCATGTAATGCGATGAGCCGTCATTGGATGTATAATGCTGATCGCCGCTCCCCAAGAGTTCATTGACGGCGTGCATTCTTTGTTTACGTCTTGGCCGAGGCAAACAAACGCGATGGTTTCATGTCTTTGCCCATGTGCCATATGTAAGAATACGGTGGAATATCCTTACTCAAGGACTCTTCATTCACACTTGTTCAAGTCGGGTTTCATGCCAAACTATATTTGTTGGACAAAGCACGGAGAAACCGGTGTTGTAATGGAAGAAGGTGAAGAAGAACAATGGGACGACAATGATATTATTCTTGATGGTGCGTGCTTCAATGATACCGCAATGGGAGAAGTGAAGAAGAGGTAGCCGCAGAAGATGAGCCGGTGATGATCTTTGCCAGTCATTCGTGACGCACAAAGAGAATGTGAAAGTGAAAAGGAGAAGATCAAGTTCGAGCGGATGCTAGAAGATCACAAGAAATTGTTGTACCCAACTTGTGATGCAGGGCAGAAAAAGTTGGGAACCACACTAGAATTGCTGCAATGGAAGGCAAAAGAATGGTGTATCGACAAGGGATTTGGAGAGTTACTAAAAATCCAAAAGAAGATGCTTCAAGTACAATGAATTGCCCGCCACTACCTACGGCTAAAAAAAGTTAGTTGTCCGTCCTATGGGGCTAGAAATAGAGAAGATACATGCATGTCCTAATGATCGCATCCTGTACTGCAAGTGGCAAAGAGTACGAGAAATTGGATGCATGCCCGTTATGCCATGCGTCGTCATGTATAAGATCAAAGAGATGACCCCGTGATGTTGAGGGCGAACGTCCGCGTAAGAAAATCCTCGCCAAGGTTATGTGGTATGCTCCTATAATACCACGCTTGAAACGTCTGCTCGTAAACAAAGAACATGCAAAATTGTTACGATGGCACAAAGAAGACCGTAAGGTAGACAATATGTTGAGACACCCTGCTGATGGGTCCCAGTGGAGAGCAATCGACAGAGAATTCCCGGAGTTTGCAAATGACGCAAGAAACTTAAGGTTTGCTTTAAGTACAGATGGTATCAATCCTTTTAGAGAGCAGAACAGTAGTCATAGCACTTGGCCTGTTACTCTAAGTATCTACAACATTCCTCCTTGGTTATGCATGAAGCGGAAGTTCATTATGATGCCTGTGCTCATCCAAGGCCCGAAGCAACCTAGCAATGACATCGATGTGTACCTGAGACCACTTATTGACGAACTTCTCATTTTGTGGAATAAAGAAGGTATATATATGTCATTTGTATTCATATGCATGTATATATACGTCGCGGAACACCGCCGCCCTCGTTCGTCCATGCGTTTCTATGTATACGGCGGAGCACCGCCGCCCTCGTTCACCCATGTGTACAGACATATATACGGCGGAGTGGAGCACCACCACTCTTGTCACACCGCCCTTTCTCGTGGCCTAGTTGATCAACATTCGTATTATCGTTATCGTTAATGCTAAACAATCACACCGTATGAACCGCTACTGTTGATGTACTATATATTGGTTTTGTTTTTGAAGCTAGATGGCCGACCGAGAAACATGGATGAGGAGGAGTTGATGATGAATTTGATCAACACCGGCACTCAAGTTGCCGGCGATGATGATGGTGCTAAAAATAACGTGCAAGAGGATGCGGATGACGGAGTCAAGTGCCAGCTCTTGAACAAAATGAGCAACAACAGATTGGCCAAGTATATATTTTTTATTATTAGCTATATATATTATCATATGTCTTTATGTGTGCTCATGACATTAAAAATAATGTTTATGTTTTGTAGCCCTCTGGATCGACATCAACAACTACAACGAAGAGTAAAAATGTTCGAGGTCCCAAAAAGCCATTGGAGGGCCGCTTCATCATCTCGGAGTTCAATGTGGATACTGAGGAGAACCGGGGCCGATAAAATGAAATTTGTGCACCATCAGAGGTTACCTTATGCACGGGACCGGCTCCCGATTAGTACCCGTGAATGGAAGAAGAAGACCAATGCTCCTCATATCAGTTTTGTCTCCGATCGTGACAAGGCGTTAATTTGGAATGATGTCTTGGTACATTTCATGCTCCAAACAGATGGTTATGATGATATAATAGATGGTGATGAATTGAAGGAGCGAGTTAGGGATTGGGCAATGAAGAAGATGCCCACCCGCTTTGAGACTTGGAAGAAACACCTATACACGACGTATGTCAAGAAAAACATAGCACCAGATTTTACTTGTCCCAGGCCCGATCTCAAAGCGAGGCCCTATTGGGATGAGTTTGTACAAGACAAGACTTCGAAAGAGGGTGTGAGTCGGGTGATAAAGAACCAACGTAATGCCCAATGTAAGACATACCACCATACCTTGGGATCGGTGGCTACCCGACGCCATTAAGAAGTGGAACAAAATGGAAGCGCACCTTCTTGCCAAGGGTATCGCACCGTAATCACTCGAGTGGGGAGAACGTGCAAAGAATTGGTTTTTCGGTCATGGGGAACACTAGACCAGAGATGTGGAAGTGCGTTTATGGCGCAAGACCTGCAAGAAGCGGCAGAAAGATTGTTTTATGCTCGAGAGCTATCTGCTAGTGGTGCGTTCAGCCCAACAGAGAGAAGGATGAGTGACATACGCCATCGGGACTATTGAACATGGTGGCGAACTAGAGGCAAAGGAAGTGTCTCGTGGGAGCATGGATTCCCTCAGATGCACCTTCTTCTGAAGTCGCCAGAGAAAGAAGGAAGAAGAGGCACAATGGCTCCAGAGATTGGAGGAAGCGGTGCGTGAAGCATGGAGCGAGAAAAAAACCCTTGAAGCGAGAATGCGGGAGAAAATCGTAAGGCAAGTGCAAATAGCGGTGAGTGCAAGTAAGCGAGCATCGAGCGAAATCAACATTAGCCAA